CATTTTTCAAACAAATAAATTAAAAGTTTTATTCGGTTTCAACATATAATATCTAATACCAAATGGTGGTAGTTCAGTTGGCGCATGGAAGCTAAACAGGTGGAGTGAGAGCATGTGTTCGAATCTCCCCAGTACCACCTTTGAGAGGGGTTTAAAGCCTTAATCCTGAACCCGTCACGAATCGAATTAGTTGCGAAACAATGAACCGATTGGAATATTTCCAAAAAAACATATAATATCTAAACAATAATGTAATACTTTTTTTATTATATTCTATTATATATCATTTCATCTCCTTCCAATGCATATTTATCACATACATAATGATCCTCATGATTACCATATATTTCTTTCTAAAACGTTTTCCTTGTAAAATACTTCTCAAACATATTTAGCTATGCAAGTACGAGTATGTAAGAATTTTTAAATTTTATAATGTAGTTCTTATATTACAATGAATATATGAATATTACAATTGTTTTTTTTTGTTAACTAAATATGATAATGGTTTAGTTGATAAATTGCATCTATGTGAAAGTGATCAGACGGGTGCCAGCAGAATTCAAAATTTATTGGAAGCACTATATATAGTAAGGGCTAAAGTAGTTTCACACTCAAATATTGGAAGTCTTAAAAGATCAAATGTGTGCAAGAATTCAAAATTTATTGAAAACACTCGATAATAAGGGCTAAATTAGATTTCACACTCAAATTGCGAAAGTATATATATATATATATATATATATATATATATATATATATATATATATATATATATATATATATATATATATATATATATAGGTTCGCTTTTTCTGCAGTTACTGCAGATAAGTTATTCGTAGTAAGCCCAATATGACGTCGTTTTGGGACAGAAATCATGGTATTTTTGTAATTTTAATTTATTTCAAGGTTATAATAGTCTTTATATTTATAATTTTTTAAGATTTCAATACCAAAATGACGTCATTTTGAGAATAAATGCAGATAACTTATCTGCAGTAATTGCAGAAATATTTTTCCCTATATATATATATATATATATTTATTGTTGTTGTTGTTGTTATAAAGACATTGGGTCTAATCACTGAGAGATTTAAATTCGTGTCACGAATATATTGTAATTAATCCTACAAGCACAATACAATAAAAGAATATGATAAAACTCATAAAATGTCAAAAACAAATGTTAGTATGCAGAAAAATCCAAGCCTAACATGTGTTGTCTCCATAAGACAATTTGTCCCCTCTACCGGTGCCAAAGGAATGTGAACAATTGTCTCCCAAGATATAGAATTTCCAGAATGTGATGGCTACCAATCTAGATATACCCCTCAAACATAACCAAATGCTTGAGAAATCGTACTCACTTAGTCTATGGCAGTATGCACTAACACTATGGATGCATGGAGTAACTTAGAAAAAATTCGGAGTGGTTTTTTTCTAACGGGCTGCATGTATACATAGACAACGATCGAACACGACAAATTGCAACCGGCAAATCATTACGACTCATGCAACGAACTGCTATAATGGACCATTACGACTCACTAAGCTAATCGGTACGCACCGTTTCAGTTGAAAAAAATTCCAAAGTCAACTAAAAAACACGATTGATAGGGATGCAGGGGCTGTTTGGACAAAAAATAAAAAAATATTTAATAAAAAACTATTTTATTTTTATCTCACACTTGACTGTACCGAGCCGAGTCGGACGACGACGGTGTTGTGCGCCAAGGCCCATGTATGTCCTCCTTCCTCCACAAAAATGGTGTGCCCCAAAGGGCAAACTAGAGAGGTGAAGTGGAGGTTTATAAATCCTTCCACTTCTCATGTCTTGTTCAATAAAAGATCACCCAATCATCGTGAATCCCAGAAAAAGAAAAGATCAGAAACCCATATTCAAAAATATTACAAATCTAAAAGTAAAGAAACATGCATCACAAACATTCATGAAAGAAAACTCAAAGTAAAGTTACAAACCGGTTCTTCAAGAGTCAAAGTTCCTAAACTAGAGCTAGGAAGAAAAAGATCAGAAATGTGAAAACAGGAGCTCGTATGCAGATCCGTGGTTCCTTTCCTTGAAGTTGCGTTGTCAATGCACTTCGAGATCAAGAATTGAAGAACATGCATCAGCTTTCAAGACAAACACTCAGATTTGAAGAGAGAAAATGCAAAATTCTAAAACGTAAACTGAAACTAAAAGTACGGTATCTATGACCCTAAAATATGACTCAGACTCCTATTTAACTAAAAATTATAAAGCTGCCTCCAAATGCACTGCTGTCCATTCATCTCTATGTCCATCCAATGGTTCAGATTTGATCTTGATTTCAAAGAGTTGATCTTGCTTCCAAACTGCAGTAAAAGTAATAAAAGAGAGTAGTAAATCATCAGTTTATCTCTTTCTCTCTTTTTTTACCTTTGGGCTGATTGGCACTCATTTGGCCCATTACCATGCACTAATATCCATCCTTCAACTCAAATATTGTAAAAATAAAGCCATTAAAATAAACATAATATATAGCTAACAGATGCAGGGGCTGTTTGGACAAAAAATAAAAAAATATTTAATAAAAAACTATTTTATTTTTATCTCACACTTGACTGTACCGAGCCGAGTCGGACGACGACGGTGTTGTGCGCCAAGGCCCATGTATGTCCTCCTTCCTCCACAAAAATGGTGTGCCCCAAAGGGCAAACTAGAGAGGTGAAGTGGAGGTTTATAAATCCTTCCACTTCTCATGTCTTGTTCAATATGAGATTTCTACCCACACACACCCCTTCACCTTTCGTCTTTCTCTTATTCTTCAATCGACTTCTTATTCATAATCTATAAGATTTAGACATAAAATCCAATATATATATATATATATATATATATATATATATATATATATGAGGTAGGATCATTTGATACTGGTGTCAAATTTGAAGTTTGACACCTCATCTGAGAGCCGTTAGATCAAAAAAGATCAACGACTCTGATTTATAAGCATGTGACACCATTGATCTTTTTTGATCTAACGACTCTCAGATGAGGTGTCAAACTTCAAATTTGACACCGATGTCAAAGGATCCTACCTCTATATATATATATATTAAGTGATATTCTTTATTTTATTAAAAAAATAGGATAATAATCAAACTTTAAATCACTTGCTCATGATACCAGGCAACGTTTTATTAAATCTGTTAAGAAAATCTCACTTGTACTAAATTAATAATGTAATATCTATACGGAACTAGTCAGTCTAATAGTATACTTTTGACTCTCACCCAATCTTGAGTCTATCTTTTCTATTTATCATAACATGTAGAAGCGAAAGTTTTCTTTTTCTTCCTTGTAGTTTTGTTTGAATATAGGAAAAAATGTTTATCTTTTTAAATGACACAATTTATATCTTTTTACTCTCACAAATAGGTGGAATCCACATCTTTATTTTTTTTTTGTCAACTCTTTCTCTTCTTTTATCTATCTCTTTCTCTCTCTTAAAATGACATAACTTTACATCCTTTAAAATGACACACATTTTTTCCTTGAATATAAGGGAAAAAATGAATATAAGGAAAATAGTTGAGAAACTATTATTATACAATACTGTTTTCTTTAGTCATAGCTACTGCTTCCTTTACATTACACAAACTCTCAGTCTTTCAGAATTCACATGTAGCATTCGTTCATTGAGGAGTGGATATGCTTGTGATCAAATTAAATTAATTGTATAGCCAAGAAGTGGGAAAACATCAAAATTTCGCTTTGGCATAACAATTTAAAGATTACTATTTAGTTGGTTAATTGCTTCATCCATTTTATGCCCTTTAATATTTTTAGGGAATATATATATATATATTTTCTAACTTTTTATGCTTTTTTTCATATCATTTAGCATACCAATCTCAGCAAGTTATTAATATAGATTTGAATCTTGTAAACTACAGCACTTACTTGAATTTGCTTATATCCCTTAAATGGTCCAAGAAGGAATATATTCTAAAGCATGTATATCATGTTATATAAAATATTTCCTTGTCATGTGTTTTGTGACGGGAAATTATTAAAATCTCAGAATCCTTTAACAAGAATTACGATTAGATCCTGAATTTTATTTAGAGTTTTTTTCTCTTATGGTATATATTTGATAGTGTTTGGACTTTGAAGAGATATATAATATAAAATTATTAAAGATCAATATCATTTATTAACTCAAGCTGTTGGATGAGATGATTACTTATCATAGTATCAGAGTTTTGTGACCATGGGTCACAAATTCTATTGTTATCGTTTCACTTTTTTGGTAAAATTAAATCAACACAAGATAAAACCAATAAAATGTACATTTGCAATATTCTTGAACATGTGTTAAGAGAGATATAAGCCTGGAAGTAAAGTCAATATTGTTTACAATATACAAACTGCAGCATATTATAGCTAAATAAACAAGGAACAAATTCATCATTTTCTTGAAATTTTCCGTAAACAAGAAACTTTCAGATAAATAAATACCACAACGCAGTTTGTGGTAACCGGTAATTGCAAGAACGGTGAATAATATGGAGGAAGCGACAGAACACGAGAAGAGAAAATTGTTATAAGGAGGGTCGGGGTTGCGGGGCCCACCGTCCCCTCTCTTAAAAGTATAAACGATAACGCCACCCACTCCCTTCTCTTATCAAAATTTTTTTTTTTTGGCTTCGTTTTCCCCTCGTATTTTAAGAAAAATAAAATAATAATAAATAACTTATGTAATTTTGTATTGTTATGCTTTTTCCACCCTCCCTTTCCTCGTCGTACTCTGTCTCCATCTCTTTCTCTCTCCTCAACCGGCTACCGACCAGCCAGGTCATCACATTCACACGTGCTTCCTCCTCCCAAAACTCTGTCACACGTGCCATATCTCACCCATACAACTCCCTTCCTTTCTGTGGTGCAACAAATAAAAGTTAGAGAGAGAATATCTCATGGAAGCAATATATATACAAGGATATAGAGATAGAGATGGATAAATAGAGTTAGAGAGAGAGAGTTGTGTATGGGTGTGTATTTTTGTGTGAGGGGTGAGAGAGAGAGTTGATAAAAGCATAAATTTTTCTTGGTCTTTGGAGGGGCATGTAGTAGATGGGTTTACCCTTCTCTCTCTCTCTTTGTATCTTTTTTTTCCCTGAAATCTGAAACCGAAAGATCGCTCTTTGGGTCTGAGGGAGCGTTGAAGTATATATATTTTGGGTCTTTTATTTTTTTTTTGTGAGAGTGAATCTCGTGAGTTGGTGGTGGCAGTTTTCAATCTTGCACCGATGAGGATCCGGAAAAGACAGGTGCTTTTCCCTTCATCTCTCTCGCCGTTGCCTCTCTCAGATCCCCACCTGATCAACCGGTCACCGGTGATGGTGCAACTCGGCGATGCTACATCCACTGTACCGAAATCTTCTTCCACACCACTACTCCCACAACATGCTGCTGCTGCTGCTGCAGCACCAGCTTCAAGCTTGGATCATCATCAGCCGTCTGATCAGCCACTCCCACCGATCGGGAAACTAAGCAACGGCTGGGATCATCGCTTCGGCATCGGTGGTGACAGTGGGGCATACCGACAGCACAACAAGCAAGACCCTTTGGTTAGTGAAAACATACACACAAAATCGTTTAATTTAATTTTAAATTTTTTTTTTTTTTGGGTTTTTGTTTTTTCGAAATTTCATGATGTGGGCTTTTTACAAGTGCACTTTTGTCCAATCTCTGGCAAGTGGTTACCTGTTGGTTTCAAATTTATTTTTTATTTTTTATTTAAAAAAAAAGTTATTTCACACACCATCCAGAAAGGGGCACTCTTGGGACATGGACGGTTGGATCCTATGTATATATATTTTGCTGTGGTTGATTTTTGCAGGACGAGGATGTTAGAGGGCAAGAGAGTGAAGACTCTAGAGAGAAGGATAATAATCATGCCAGGTAAGAAAGCAAACATAATCGAAAAAAGAGAAATCGTTTTTTTTTCGTCTCTTATTCTTCCATGAAATCTCGTAGTAAAAAAAGGTGAAAACACGGAGACCCATGGGTCTTGATTTTAAGTTTTTAACCAGCATCGAAAAAAAAGGAAATATTATTATTTATATAAAAATTATAAGCAGTGGAAAATACTGTTGAAGGTGTTTTAAATAAGAGTTTTATTTTATGTAGCCACCATATATATATATATCTATGTCTATAGATATACACCTTCCAGTATCTAATCAAAACCCATCGTTCTTTTCTCTAAATTGGCCAACTACCGTTTCGCACTTGAGGTGCACAAAGTAGCTAGCTAGCACCCAAATGCTGGTCCCCAACGACATTGCGTTTTGTTCTTTCGAAATATTACACTCCTTCTTTTTATCTTCAATGCTGTCAATTTTATGTATGTATATATACATGTATATATATGTGGTTGTGGGTCTTTCTGGATCTGCTTTGTTTGTAGGAAAGGACGAGTCTTGGGTTCGGAGGTTTTGCTACCTGCAAGTCCTTCTTCTACTCAAGGTAACAAATATTACTTCATTGAATGATATATATATTTGACTCTCTAGCTGGTTTTGACTTATGCATACGATGCAGATGGAAGATGGTGCAATGCAGAGAAAGCGATTCCACTTAAGAAACGGAGAGGGAGCTTCGAGAATGGGACGGTGAATAATAATTATAATAGTAAGAAGATGAAGGCGAGGATGAAGACGAAGATGAACAAGAAGTGTTCTACGAGAAATGATGATTATAACATGGAACACGAAGACGAGGATGAGGATGAGGATGAGGAGGAGGAAGAAGAAGCGGAAACAAAAAAAGAAGTGAGTGTAATTAGTAAGAGGAGGGCAAGGGGTAGTGCACTCATGGAAGGGTCACGGTGCAGTCGTGTGAATGGGAGAGGATGGAGGTGCTGTCAGCAAACACTGGTTGGTTACTCGCTGTGTGAACATCACTTGGGGAAAGGAAGGCTCAGAAGCATGACAAGTGTTAGAAGCCGATCCATTGTCTCAACTACGATTGCACCAAAGAAGTTGCACGACCACCCTTCTGTATCTGCTGCATCATCTTCTTCTTCTTCTCTTGGAAAGCAAACCAATAAGTGTGTTACTGATGAGAAGAAGATCAATAAGCCTTTGATAATCACGAAGAAGAGGATGAAGCTTGGAATGGTGAAAGCACGATCTATGAGCAGCTTGCTGGGACAAACTAGCACCCAGGTTACTTTAGCTCATGAGAATAACAAGTAAGGCGAGAATACTAGTGCAGAAACCGTTGTTATTTCATGTACTCTCCAAGTTGAAAGAAATTTTAATGCTAGAATTTGTCTTATAAATATATATATAATATATATATACTTGTTGGTTGGTGCCACTGCTTATTTTATTCCGTAGTTATGTGGTATATATAATATTTCCTTCATATGTCGTGATGCTTTTGTTGTGGTGTGTTTTCAATTCATCTCTCGCTCGCTGGTGATGGGATTAATATTTAAGTATTATTGGACTGGGCACGTTCTGATTTTATACTGGAATACGACATATTTATAGACGCACTCTTGTTGAATTATCCAACGGATATTTTAGTTTACTAGTAATATCGATCATGATCACTGTGTACTTTGACCAAGGAAACAACTTGAACTCTCGTGTGAAAATTTGTTATCAACGGAGAAAGGAAACCAAATAATAAATTTAGATGTGATTCGTATGAGTAACTGGGTTGGAAATTCAAGTGTGAATATTGAAAAGAGATGAGCTAAGTACAACACATATCTTAAAGTTTTGGATTGAGATATGATATCAGATTTTATATCATGATTTTGTGATTTTGACTCATTTGATGTGTGGATGATCGATACTCTCCTCTAATTCGACTCCCCATATATTGTTTGGTGGTCCCTGGTCAAATCATCCATGCATACATGGTATCAAAAGTTGCACCCTTTTTTTTAGTTTATGTAATGTAATACGGATAATTTACATGCGATGGATGTTACGTAGAAGCATATCGTGTTCTCTGATGATATTGTAGACTGTAGTGGAGCTTGAAAATTTGCAAAAACACAGATTTGTTGTAGTTTCAGACATCAATCTTGTACCGTATTCGTGTTGCTGTATTAAAGAAATCTACATGCATATAGGTGGAATTTATTAACGCATATATAGTCCGCAATTACGGGAATCATCTGCGGCTGAGGCTGATATAATGAGGGCTAAAGCATATTATATTGTTAATAAAAAAATTTCAAAACTAATGGCATGATTTTTCCTTAGACGGTTTGCGGTAGAAAGAATTTTGATTGCTTCGCTTTTTGCATTCAAATAACAATATATAGAAATTTGAGAAACGTGTATAAATCGATCAATTGAAAAACAATTTTAAATAGAGGTAAAACCATTTAAAATATTCTCAGACTTATATCTAGCTAGCCTTTTTGTTTTTTTCTTCTTCCGGTTTTAAGAAACTCAATTGATTCAATTCGAGTATTGTCGGACTATTCTCCCTGAACCATAATTTACATATCTACAATTCAAGTTTGAGATATTTGTTTAAGGAGAATGTTGAGAATGGTACGGGGAGCCCAAAACCCATTGTAAGGGATACATCCATGGGCCAAGCGATAAACCACAATAAGTGGGCCGACACCACTAGGGCCGGCAAAATGGGCTGAGCCCGCCGGGCTGGCCCGCCCCGCCTGCCAAATGGGGCGGGCTGGGTTGAGTCTTTCAACCCACCAGCCCGCCAGCCCATATGGGTCAGCCCGCCAAGTCATTTTTTTTTTTTTTTAGGTTACCCAATTGTTATGTAGCTCCGTATCTTAGATTTCCTTGCAAGTGGCTTTTTTGAATTGTTGTGGACTGCTCATACAACACTTTGTTACTTGTTTTGTTATTCTATTTTATCCTGATATGATTTTATTTTTTTATTATTATTTTTGGATTGAAAGATGCATATTTATATGCAGATTATTAAACACTGATCTTCTTGGTTTCATAAGCACATTAGGATTTTATACAGATTTTTGTATGCTTTTATGCAGATTTTTTTATGTGATTTTATGCAGAATTTAATTTTTTGTATTTTATTTTTTTTTTATTTTAGGCGGGCTGGCCCGTAGCCCGCCAGCCCACTCATAAAACGGGCCGGGTTACTCAATTCAACCCATTTTATCAAAACGGGCCGGGGCGGGCCAGCCCATTTTGGGCGGGCTAGTGGCGGGCCGGGGCGGGCTGGCCCATATTGCCAGCCCTAGACACCACATTTTAACCCAAAACCTTAAGGCTGTAGGTTTATGGGTCTTTTTGCACTTATATAGTCATCACTTGGTCTATGTCTAGTCGATGTGGTACTTCTTTATAACTCATACTTGAATACTTCTAACAGAGAACAAATTCCTTACTATTGTAGTTATTTATTGTTGGTAGCTAGTCATTTTTTATTTTTTTTGTACCATCAAATATTGTGATTTGTCTTCCCTGACTATAAGAAATAATATATTTTGGGTTTTGGGAGCTACATTTGAAATAGCAGCTTTTGATTCAGATGAATAGACCCCGGCTCTTTTTCTCCCAACGACATGGCCTACATAGGCAAGGTCAAGCACCCGAATATTCCTCGTAGTCGCAGAACCAAAAAAAAAATAAAAAAAATAGAGGGTTCCTCCTCAAACCGCCACAAATATGTTGTGAAAATCTGAATATGTTAGACTTAGCAAAAAAACAAAGAAACTGTTGTAGTCAACAGAAAAGAACAAGAAAGCAATCATATTATATTAACTTAAAAGTATTATTATGAGCGGAAAAGGAGAAACTAATTTTCATTATTCAAGCTGTAATGATTACATTGAAAATCTGATTTATATATCAGATTAGAAAGGTAACAGAATAACAGAAAACTAACCATCTATTAGTTACAACAGAAAATGAGTAATTGAATGACTAATCTAAATAATAACTGATAAATGATAGCTCGGTATATGTTAATATCCCCCCTCAAGTTGGAAGGCAAATGTCCATGAGCCCCAACTTGGAAATAATGGAGCTGAAAGGAGTGCGAAGCAATGGTTTTGTTAAAATGTCAGCAAGCTGAGCCTTGGTAGAGATGGGTAGCAAGTGAATCAAACCACTGTTGATCTTTTCACGGATGAGGTGACAGTCCAATTCGATATGCTTACTCCTCTCGTGAAAACTAGGATTGTGTGCCAAATAAATGGCAGATTGGCTGTCACAATAAACAGAAGCAGGTGTGCTGGTGGAGACACAAAGGTCATTTAACAGATAATGCACCCATTGGAGTTCACAAGCAATACCAGCAAGGGCACGGTACTCAGCTTCTGTGGAAGACCTGGAAACTGTGGTCTGCTTCTTTGATCTCCAAGTGATAAGAGCTGGTCCAAGGAAGACACAGACACCAGAGACAGATCTTCGAGTGTCTATACAGCAGCCCCAATCAGCATCAGCGAAGCCAGAAAGGGAAAGATCATTGTTACTGGGAAAAAATAAACCTTTGCTTGGAGAAGATTTGATATAACGAAGAATTCTGGTGGCGGCCTGCATATGAGTATCCATGGGATTTGAGACATATTGGCTGATTTGCTGAACAGCAAATGATAAATCTGGGCGAGTGGTAGTAAGGTACAGCAGACGTCCTACTAATCTTCTGTAGGCTGGTTGATCTGTATAAGGAGACCCTTGTACACGTTGTAGTTTCTTCGAAGGGTCCATTGGAGTGGAGCAAGGTTTACAGCCAAGGAGACCAGCATCATCAAGTAATTCCAGAGCATACTTTCGTTGATTCATAATGATGCCACTGGAAGAACGAGAAATTTCAATTCCAAGGAAGAATCGTAGAGGACCTAAATCCTTAATGCGAAATTGATTATCCAAATGCTGCTTGACTCGAGAAATTTCAAGAGGATCATTTCCTGCAAGTATGATGTCGTCCACATATACTAGAAGGGCAGTAAAAGAGTTAGTGGAACTTTTGATAAACAATGTATGATCAGCAGATGATGAAGAGTAACCAAGAGTAATGAGGGAAGTAGAGAGTTTTGAGAACCACTGTCTACTAGCCTGTTTCAATCCATAAAGGGATTTTTCAAGTTTACAAACTTGATTTGGCTTGGGAGAAGATATACCAGGGGGTAAGACCATGAAGACCTCTTCATTTAAATCACCATGCAAGAATGCATTATTTACATCCAGCTGCTCTAAATGCCAACCTTTGGCTGCTGCAATTGCCAACAGAATTCGGACAGTAGAGAGTTTAGCAACTGGGGAATAAGTATCAAAGAAGTCAACACCTTCAAGCTGGGTGTATCCTTTAGCCACAAGTCTGGCTTTATAGCGTTCTATGCTCCCATCCGATTTGTGCTTGATTTTATATACCCATTTGCAACCAATGGGCTTTTTGTCTAGGGGAAGATCAATGAGAGTCCATGTGTTATTCTGCTCAAGGGCCAGAATTTCTGTATTCATAGCTTGGCGCCAACATTCATACTTGACAGCCTCAGTGTATGATTTTGGTTCAACAGTAGTGCTAATGGTAAGGCAGTATTTGGTATAGGCAGGGGAATATCTATTGAAATTGACAACAGATGATATGGGGTAAGGAGTTTTAATGTGAGAATGATTACCTGTGGAATCCGATGGTGTGATTGCTGCAGAAGAAGAGAGATTACAGTAGAAATCATTGAGATATGATGGAAGATGTCGTTGTCTAACAGGTCTCCCAACAATAGGTTGTTGAGCAGGTTGTGGTTGATTTGAGCCAGGTTGATCAATGACATGATGTGATGGTATATGTGAATCATCAGAAATGACAGTAAAAGGTTCAATTATAGTAGATGGAGTAGGAAAAACAGAATTGATATCTGTATGATTATGTGAAGCAGTAAAAGGAAAGGATAGCTCATGGAATATAACATTTCGAGAAACAAAAATGTTATGAGATAAAAGATCCAGAAGCACAAACCCTTTTGTTCCATCTCTAAATCCTAGAAAAACACATTTGTGAGCACGAGATGAAAATTTAGTTCTATGACTTACTAAAGAACTTGCAAAACACAGGCAACCAAGAACTTTGAGATGAGTCAAAAGAGGAGGTGAACCATGTAACACTTCATATGGGGTTCTGTGATTTAAAAGAGGAGTGGTAATTCGATTTATTAGATGGACTGCATGAGAGACAGAATATGACCACAATTGGAGTGGTAGGTTTGCTTGGAATAGAAGTGATCTAGCAACATTAAGAATATGTTGATGTTTTCGTTCGACCACTCCATTTTGTTCAGGAGTTTCAACACATGATTTTTGGTGGATTATACCATTGTGTTGATAGTAAGTGGACATTTCAAATTCCATACCATTGTCACTCCTTATCTTTTTAACAGTGATGTTAAATTGATTACGAATTAAACTGATAAAACTCTGCAAATGACTTCGAGTCTCATGTTTATTTCGCATGAAAATCGTCCAAGTGAAACGAGAGTAGTCGTCTACTATAGTAAGGAAGTAACGATATCCTTGAATGCTGGGGATCTTGTATGGTCCCCATATATCTACATGTATGAGTTCAAAAGCATGTAAAGACTTTGTTACACTGGAACAGTAAGGTAACTTTTTCTGTTTTGCATAATGGCAGACTTCACAAGGAACAACAGCTTTATTTGGAATGAAAGGGAATTGACATGACATATACTTCAAAGTAGTTTCAGGGATGTGTCCTAATCTAAGATGCCATAGGACAGATTCTTTATTTGAGGAATTGAAATTGAGAGTAGTTGTGTTGGTATGAGTATGGGTAGGGGCTTCAATGATGAATAATCCCTCTTCCTCTTTAGCTATACCAATCATCTTCCTGGTATTCATCTGAACAATAAAACATTTTGAATCACAAAAGGTTAATGAGCAGGGTATATTATGAGATAATTTGCTAGCTGAAATCAAATTTACATGAAAATCAGGAACAAAAAGTACATTATGGAGGATAAGGTCTGCTGTCAAGTGAATAGTACCAGTAGATTTTGCAAAAACCTTGGAACCATTGGGTAGTGTAATTGAAATAGGATTAATTGGAGTAAGGGTATTAAAGAGGGAAGAAAGGTGAGTTATATGATCCGTTGCTCCGGTATCTATAACCCACCTAGTGTTGATGTTACCTGATGGAGTGATATTGGAATTTGTAGAATTAAAGGTTGTGGGTTGGATGGCTGCAGCATGAGCAAAAGTTGCATTGGCAGAAGCATTTGCAGAAGAAGTGTGATCAGCATGGACAAGATTGGAGGCATGTGTGTCATTAGGAACACTCATCGAGGATTGAATCATATCCAGAATTCTTTGATACTGCATTTGAGAAAACACTTCAGAGTTATTCTTCAATTCTCTGGTGTCTCCATCATCTGCTTCATGCATTGCCATGTTAGCAGTTCGAATTTGGCTTCTTTGCTTAAAGCCTGGTGGATAACCATGTTTTTCAAAACAGGTTTCCACAGTGTGATTTGTTCTTCCACAGAATGTACACAACTTGCTTCCACGACCTCTACCATTAACATTGGTACGTCCACGACCTCGAAAGAAATTGCCACCACGAGGCACAAATGAATTACTGGATTCAGCACCAGTCATGTAATTTCTAGAGTTACTGGTTCCAACATCAGTTATGAAACTTTGTTGAACTGCAGCATTAGTAAGAACTTTGTATTCTTGATTTAATTCTGAATGAGATTCAGAATTTTGCTGTCTTTCTTGTTGACTAACTAAAGAAAAGATTTCATTTACGGATGGAAGTGGACGCATAAGCATGATTTGAGATCTCACGTTCATGAACTGTTCGTTGAGTCCTCTAAGAAATCTGATAGCTCGATCTTTTTCTCTTCCTTCTCTTACTCGATTTGATAGGCCACATCCACATGGCACAGTACACGTACAGGTTGGGAGAGGTTGTAAGGTTTCAAATTCATCCCATAGTGCTTTAATTTGAGTGTAAAAATCAGAAACAGAACGTTCACCTTGTTGAACACGATAAATCTCCTCTTGAAGATCTGCAATTCTAAAAGCATCTGCCTGTGAGAATCTTTGATAAAGATCATTCCACGCATCTATTGCATTTTCTGTCCACAAGACCGATTGCAGAATGTTTGCACTTATTGAGCGATGGATCCAAGAAAGCACCATCATATTGCATCTTTGCCAAGGATCATACATTGCATCCGTGGAAGCAGGGACTGGTATTGTGCCATCAATAAAACACAGTTTATTCTTTGAGCGAAGTGCCATTTTCATTGCACGGGACCATGAATAGTAGTTCTTTCCATCAAGAAGATTGGATACAAGAATCAATGCAGGATTTTCACCTGAATGCAGGAAGTATGCATTTCCTGGATTTGTCAGATAATCAGGAAGAACATTAGCCATGATTCTGACGAGAAGAGAGAGTTTCAAGAAAGTAAAAAATTGGATCAAGAAAAGAAGGTTCAGATGAATACCAGAACTCTATGTCAGAGCTTTGATACCATATTATGAGCGGAAAAGGAGAAACTAATTTTCATTATTCAAGCTGTAATGATTACATTGAAAATCTGATTTATATATCAGATTAGAAAGGTAACAGAATAACAGAAAACTAACCATCTATTAGTTACAACAGAAAATGAGTAATTGAATGACTAATCTAAATAATAACTGATAAATGATAGCTCGGTATATGTTAATAAGTATAATTGCTATATATATTTTTTCTCGTCCGAGTGTGTGCTATGTAATTTATATGATCATATAAGTTTGGGTTATTCTACTCAATCATTTGATATTGCTTCGTCGAGTTAGCATCAGAAACTAAAAATGTGGGATTTGTCAAAGATAACAAATACTTTTTATTTTGTATAAATATATTTCAAATGAAAATAATTCAGACTGTACATTCTAGTAAGGATCCAGTCAACAAAGGTAAAGTTTTCCTTGCCTTAAGCTATAATTGAAATGCATGAGAGTGTAGACCCCATTATATGTACATAGATGATGTCCATTATAAACATATAATCGTGTACATAAATAAGTCCGAAACGGCATCCAGAGCCAGGTTAATTAAGAATAAATTAGTGTATACTTTTTATTATGAATTACTTAGTGTTGTGCGTGCCTTTACTGTGGTTTCTAAGAAAAAAAGTTGAGGACTTGGTCGCTTGACATGAGTCAGTTCCCGCATTATTAAGGTAGACCTTAGAGTGCTGAGCACTTTAGAAATACCTGGTCGTAGAAAGGCAATTTCTCTGTTAATGCACAAACAACAGAAATTTTTAAGCAAGTCTAGATCAATGAAATTTTTGTTTGGTCAATTAATGTTTTTGATGGCATAGTTGTATTAGTATAATTATTTACATTTTAATTTATATCAAAACAGAGTTCCCTTTGCATTTTCTTATATATCTTCTATATGATTTCGATGCCGCCTTCTTGGAAAAGTTTATAACTCAACGACAGAAATATCCCAGCTTATGTTTTCCCTCCTAATTACCAAAGCTAATATGGCTTATCAATTAAGTGTACATGAATAATACATACTCGATCCTGAGAAAAGTCTATGATATATTAAAACCTTTGGTAGTTCTGTCTCTTTCAAATAATTGTCTTTGAATGGAACCTTTTTTTGCAGACTATCGGTAGCTATGGACTTGATGGGGTAGGTTTTCAGATGACAGCTAATGAAAATTTCGTTATCTTTTTTAGTGGTTAGATAGTACGTGAACTCATGTATTCTGTTGTTGACTTCTTGTGTACGAAAAAGCTATATCCAAATATGGTCATTTAGGGTTAAACAAGCATATAAGCAACTAATCTTAAGATGTTCGGTGGAGAGCCTCTTGTCCTATGGATTGCTTTTTGTGTCGGATCTTATGTGTTTTCGAGAAAGAGAAGGTATGCGTGCATTGCATGTAGTTCACTGTTTGTGTTAAAGGAAGTTCATAGTATGTGCACCCAAAGGATATGTAACAAGATGCTTCGAAGCTTGAAATTGAACTATTCCTTCCCGTGTATCTTTGATTTGGGACTAATAATTAACAGTAGAATAAAATGGAAAGCAAATGTCTGCTAAAAGTAAGAAGCATATATACAAACTGATATAGACATGAGACATGATATGGATATGAATACGGTGACACAATAAAATTTGATATGTATGTGTGTGTTTTGAATTGTTGCATCGTATTTAATATACCGTCTAGTGTATGATACGGATAAGAACACTTCCTTAGAGTGTCACTGATAAATGGCATGATACTTTTTTGTTTTTTTTGGCTAAAATGACTTCACCCCAGGTGCTTTTCAATGACATATTAACTCTTTTAATTCTCTCCTTTTTATTTTATTTTATAAAAAGATGAGAATATATTCTTTGATGAAACCGTTTTGTAAATTACCACTCATTTGTTTTTTGTGATAAAAATATACCATATATAATGTTGTTTTCATTTCTGTGCCTTAGCCATTAAATGTGACAGAGATTCTTTTGGATGGAGACGGTTGGGATGGAGACCCTACACCAGCACTTCTCCACAAGCCACAAAAGTCATTACCTCCACCCGATTACTTGGGGAGTCTCAGCATTGCTAGATTAAATAACAAAACCAGTTATGAGAAACTAAAAATATATATAAGGTTCTGTTTTGGTTGCAAGTGTCACAGTTCCTATACAAGCCAATTAAGCCATGTTCAGCAAATAACCTCACAAAAAGACCTTAAAGTTCACTACCAATACATGTACATTATTAATGTAATGTAATTAGAGATATGATATATATTGGTAAGGTACTACTCATTTCAACTAGCAGTAAAAGTCAATTATATAATATATCATGAACTAAAGTACCTAAAAGATAATCCTTATTACTAAATATAAAAGAAAAAAATTGGAAAATAAAAAAGAGTTACCCTTGAGTGCGTATGCAGTTGTTACATGAAAAGGAAAGAAAGAGAAACATAGGATTGGCTCTATAACAAATTTGTAGACTTCCAATTTGTTAAAATACGGTTTCTCCCGATCATGTATATTGCGTGTTGCTTTTGGTCTTAAATTATGGTAGTGATGGATCATCGCAATTCACATGCATTAACATGTTTGTTATTGGTGGAAATGGTAAAAGGCCACTTTTTCTTTGACATAGGAGGCGCTAATATGCCTAAAGCTTGATGAGATGAGAGGGGCCCAAACAGCAAAGCGAGTCTTGGCAATAGGGAATAGCATCCTTTCCCGTACCTCAAGTGAGGTAATGTATTCAATGGCATGTGCTTAGACGGCCCACCAATGAGGCACCAAACCAGACTTTATATTATACGGAGTCAAGTATTATTTAAGAAATTAAATTTTTAGTTACTTGATAGTCAAAATAAAGAGAAAAAATCCTTAATTGAAAGAAAAAAATTAAAAGTTGAAGTTCTTTTATAACACTATTTTTTATTTTTTTAATTATTAACTGGTGTTTGAAACTCTAACGGGCACGACAAATTCGATTTTGGATTTAAGCCTCTTTATCCTCTCTAGAAATTGCGACTCTCTGGAATCTAATCTATTGCCCTTTAGACAGGTCAAATCCTAGGGACTAGTTGGGTCGTCACTAGACTAACAACTCTCAAGTTCAGGGTTTACACTTTTATACGCTGTATATATGTATGTATATTGACAATTCACAAGGTGAATTTGGGATTGGGTGTTTTATTCCAAAGCATAAGCATCTTTAGTTTTTCACATTCGTCATACACATTCAGGTATACATAAAAATCAATATTGTCATCCCATTAAAGGCAAAGGCAATGCCGTCACAAGTAGTTACAAACAAATAATAGAAAATCTGTGTTTAGCTCATGACCAATTGCAGGCTAGTGGGTATAATGACACAAAGTCACAGCATTTGGGAGAGGATTGAATTGGTGCAAGTTGATGATGGAAATCACAATCATTCGATAATTGATTTAACTTCGGTCATGAGTGGACCCGCAGGCCCAGGCTTACCCCTAAAAAGGCTGTACTAGATAATAGAATTAATTGATGAATCCCTTTATGATTTCCATGTTTATTTAAACAGTGAAATCTGGCTGTCTGAGCACTATATATGTGCTTCAAATGGTGGCATGAGAATTGAGAACTTGTGGGACTCACTCACTCCAAGCTAGGTTCTACAATTATGACAATGCTTGTGATAATCATATTAGATAGCTGAGGCCGCAGAAAGTATGCTATAATTACCAGTCTTTTCTAGTTTCTTGTGAATAACCGAACAATTTGTGAATATCATTATGGATACCATCGTTCATGTTATTGATTATGTATGTATTGTGTATCAAAATTTTCTTCTCGCATATTGCGTACTATATTCATCTTAATTTTTTATAAGATAATAAAATACAAAATAACGAACGGTGTATTTATATAAATCTCACCATCATGCCCATATCGTGTTCCATGTATCTATGGATGATGATAACAATAATAATAATTAATAATGATAAAGAAACGAAGAATGTGATGCCTCGCATAATCAGAGCAATTGTTTAGCTAAATAGCTAGCTGGGCTTGATGAAAAGGCTGGAAGATAAATTAATGACTTTTGGATTGTAGTTGAAAGTGGCTTAATTTAAAGCTCCATTTGTCTTCCTTGTCAGCTAAGCTAAGCATCCACAATTGCTTATATCACGCATGTTGCCATTGTTGTCAATCCTGTGTTGGCTTCGTTTAAAATCATCAAAGAGAAAGAGAAAAGAAAGGAAAAAAATAGGAAAATATAGAAGAGTTATCACTTCCTTGTTTGGTATTATTCAATGAAATAAAAAAGTTCCTTTTCCTTTATTTAATTTTATTACGAAAATATTGAGAAATCCAGGTGTAAATGGACAAAATCTCATATTAGTTAAGAATTGATTAAGCACCATATAAATCGAATGATGCACATAATGCTTTAAAGTTTTGAATATAACTGAGGTGCCCAAACCCATTTAATGTCATTGCTCATTTAGCCCATAAATGATGGTCTACTTCCATTATGAACGTCACCCACCGGCCCAAAAAAAAAACATAAAAATATATAAATGAATAGAACGAATGAAAATATATGATGAACTAACAAAACTACGTACTTTTTTTCTTTCTTTCCCTTCCTTCCCATTTCACTCGGATAGATGAAAAAAATAGTAAAATTTATGGAAATGTCATCTTCTAAATTTTTTCTTTTCCCTTCTCTAAGGACTTGCTTGAAAGTTAGTTTTAAGAGGGAAAGGAAAGGAAGAAAAAGATTTTATTAATCTCTTCCCTTGTTTGTGGACTTAAAAAAGTGAGTGAAATGATTTAAGAATTTTCACAAAATCCTCCAAGACTCTTCTTGTTCTTAAAATTAAAGTTCTCCCAATTATTTGAAAGATTTTAA